GAAAAGATAGTGGAGAGAGGAAAGAAAACTTTTATGTTGTTTTCTTCCTGGTCACTTAAATAACTGGAGAATAAGAGAGTGATTTAATGCAACTTTCCTGTCTATTTGGCAAATTGATAGGAAATAAATGGATGAAAATTAAATGGAGCTAAAATTGAAGAAATTATATCTTGTTTGACAAGGGGGAATTGAAACAAATAGCTTCTTTTTAATTAAGCCTGCTATATGTGCTTTATGAGATCACACTGTGGTTAATAGAAATATGCTGTGCTTGTTTAAAAAAAAAGAAGAGATTATTGCTTGCAAATTGTAGCTTAGTTTTTTTATATTACAAACGTCAATTAAGAATCATAAAATGTTTTGACTTATATAATATTTTTCTCACAATTAAATTAAGATATCAATTAATTTAGCTAATTAAATTACACCTATATTTGTTTGTCCCATTTTTTGTTTTTTCACAACAGGGTTAACAATAAAACACACTAGGGGCGTCTATATTTTTTATCCGTATTATATTTCTGGTGATTGCAAAATAATTTTTGCACTGATTAAAAAAGTAGATTTGCGTTGACGACTGATAAGGTTCTATTGTTTTTTTTCAGGGAAGCCTGCAACAAATTTTTAACATTAAGGGAGAGGCGACCAGAATTGATCAAGTCACGAAAGGTGTCTGAAAGAGATGACGGAGCCGTACGTTGCTCGTATGGATCCGACATGTCTATCGACGAGGACCCCACTACTCCAGACCAACTACTTTCTGGGTCCCACTCCGCCGGCCCCCAGAAGTCCTCAACGTGTCAGCAACCAAAACCCCTTTTCGTTGCCTCCACTTCTCAATGTAACAGCAGAGAGTCCAGCGTGGAACCATTCGAGAACAGCAACGAAAAAAATTCCACAGCTGAAAAAGGGAAGGAGGACGTGAAAGAGGAAGAGAAATCCTCTGATCAACCTCAAGGTCCTCAACTGAAAAGGAGGCTAAGCGTGCAGGAACGAATCAACNAACCTCAAGGTCCTCAACTGAAAAGGAGGTTAAGCGTGCAGGAACGAATCAATTTATTCGAGAACAAGCAAAAGGAGAATTCTGGGGGAAGTGGGAAAGCTGCTGTGGCAAAAGCCCCAGAGCTTCGTAGGTTGTCATCTGATGTGTCAGCCCCACCGGTGTTGAGAAGATGGAGCGGCGCCAGTGACATGAGCATTGATTTGGGTGGTGACAGGAAGGATATAGAGAGTCCTCTATGCACCCCATCTTCTGCCTCTGTTTCTCAGTCTAAGTCCAATGAGCAGAAGTTGTCGAGTTTGACTGATGCAGCAAGTCTTGAGACTAATGCTAATCTGCAGGTTCCATATACAAATGGGAAGGAGGAAGCTGATGGGGCAAAGCTTTTGACTGATTCTTCTAGGAGTATTCAAGATTCTGCCAAGATCATATCAAACTCAAATTCGAGCATCTTTGATAGTGATCAGGGCCGTGGGAAGATCAGGTCAAGCTCACATATCAGCGGGGCTGAGGATAAGAGTGGGAAAAATCAACTGGATTCCGGAGGGCCATTTGCTGAGGTTGGTTTGACTAGTAACGCAAACTTCAAAGTTTCTCAAGGCGGTAAGGAGTTTGGGCTGAGCAAAGGACAAACTAGTCATCAGGTTATTGGCCTGAAGGATCAGAGTGGTCTACTAGGAGCTGCGCAGGCTGAGATTTGGCATCAGAAGGAGGATACTGTATCAACTGATCATTTGGTTTCTAAGCGCGATAAAGCTCCTCAAAGGACCACGGTGGCCTCTGCCCAGTTGGTTAGTGGTTCAAGCTCAACAGTTACAGAAACTACCGCTGCTCAAGTCCTTGAAGGTAATACACCATATCTGCGGTCAAGACGGCCATCACTTCCTGAATCTGAGGAAGTTGAAAAAAATAAGTTACCCCCATCTGAGAAATTAGCTAGTGCTTCTCAATCAAAGGTCAAAGAGCTTGGACATATGTCAATGAAATTTAAGAAGCAAGGTGGTCCTACTGAATTGGTCAAGAAGACTCAAGATAGGATGGACGAGATCATGATTGGAACTAGCAAAACACCGCTGTCAAGTAAAATGGTTTTGGAGCCTGAGGGGCTTGACTCATTTTTGACACCTCCTATTGAGCAAGTTCAGAGGGTACGGCAGCCCAAAGCAAACCAGGAAATGAATGATGAGTTGAAATTGAAAGCTAATGAGCTAGAAAAGCTTTTCGCTGAGCACAAATTACGTGCTCCTGGAGATAAATCTAATTCTACCAAGAGAAGCAGGCCAGGTGACATGCAAAGCCGTCCAGTTGCTAGTTCATCCTACAGGAAATCTGTGATAGATAATTCTAATGTTGGAATTTCTGACAATTACACGTCCAATGAACCTGCCTCAAGTTCCAATGATGTTTTAAATAGGAGTTTCTCTGAACTAAGTTTTTCGGATGGTTCTCGAGGGAAATTCTATGAGAGCTATATGCAGAAAAGGGATACCAAACTCCGGGAAGAATGGAATTCTAAGAGAGCAGAGAAGGAAGCCAAACAGAAGGCTATGGAGGATAGCCTTGAGAGGAGTAGAGCTGAGATGAAGGCCAGGTTTGCTGGATCTGCTGATAAAGACAGTATGGTTTCTAGTTCTCGTCGGCGTGCTGAGAGATTCAGATCATTTAATTCGAGGTCTATTCTGAGAAGAGAGCAGGTATAGTTCTTTTTCTATTCTGTAATAGATGCAGCTATATAGTCATACATAACGTTGCCATTTCTTTTTCTTGTTCTGTCTGTTGGTTTGGTTCTCTTGCATTACATGTAACTGACCCTGAAACAATTTGTTTTGGCAGCAACAGTTAGTTTTTGAGCAAAGTGATGACGAAGAAGATATGTCTGAATTATCAAAGCAGAAAAAATACGGTGAAGACAGGTCTTTCGACGAAACATCTTTCGGGGATGATGTTCGTAAGAACAATCGGAGTAAGAAGCCTTTACCTGTCAAAAGTTTGTCTTCATCAACACCTCGCACCACAGTAGCACCTGTTTCGAGGTCTTCTGGGAAAGCTTCTAGTAATACATCAGGTAGGCGAAGAATTCAATCTGAAAATCCTCTGGCGCAGTCTGTCCCAAACTTCTCTGATCTGAGAAAGGAGAACACCAAGCCTTCTTCCACAGCTGGTAAGACAACTCGTTCACAATCTAGAAACTACACCCGTAGCAAAAGCACAACTGAAGAGATACCCCTTGTCAGGGAGGACAAATCACGAAGATCACAATCCTTGAGAAAAAGCACTGCCAATATGGTGGAATTTAGGGAGACATCTGCTTTCGATTCTGAGGGTGTTGTTCTGACACCTCTCAAATATGACAAAGATGAGATGGAGCGGGGTATCATTGAAAAATTTCCAAAGAGTTCAGGTTCAAAGACTTTACTAAAGAAGGGCAAGAATTCTGACTTCAGCTCTAGAGGTGGCCTGACTAAGATAAGGCCTTCTGCTGCATCTAAGATTGTGGATGACGATGACGAGTACGATGATATGGTATTTGAGCCGGAAAACTCAGAAGGCAGGGGCCAGGATGAAGAAGAGGAAGAATTTGAGAACATGACAGCTGGTATTCAGGAAAACTTTGACAACGGGGAACCAAGACTGAGCCATGATTCAGAGAAATTGGAAAACTCCGGATCAGAAAACGATGGTGTTCTGAGATTATTTTCTCAAGTGAACTCTGCTTCAGAAGCTGTATTGCCTTCTGTTGTGACTTCCAAGTTGTTATCTGGTGGACTTGTACAAGATTCACCGGTAGAAAGTCCTGTCTCATGGAATACACATGCTCATCACCCATTTTCGTATCCTCATGAGATGTCTGATGTTGATGCATCCGTGGACTCTCCTGTGGGAAGTCCTGCGTCCTGGAATTCACATTCTCTAAGTCAAACAGATAGTGATGCAGCTAGAATGAGGAAGAAATGGGGAATGGCTCAGAAACCTATGCTCGTGGCAAATTCTTCTCAAAATCAATCACGCAAGGATACAGCCAGAGGATTTAAACGGTTTTTGAAATTTGGGAGGAAAAATCGTGGCACAGATAGTTTAGTTGACTGGATTTCTGCTACCACTTCTGAAGGAGATGATGATACAGAAGATGGACGTGACCCTTCTAATCGATCTTCAGAGGATCTGAGAAAGTCAAGAATGGGCTTTTCACAGGAGCATCCATCTGATGATAGCTTTTATGAGAACGAGTTTTTCAGTGAACAAGGTGAAATAATATGCTTCACTCCCTAAAACAAAACATCTAGTTTCTGTATGGTGGATATTTATTGTTGCCTCAAGAATAGCTTCTGATGCTTGATTCTGTTTCTTGAGTTTAACAGTTCTTATTTCTCTTTTTGTGGGTACATTAATACCCGAAAAAGTTAACTGCCAGCACCTGACTGTAGTACAGATCATTGTGCTACTTTCTTGTTTATTAAGTGAAGATCCAGGGAGGATATCAAAATTCTTTTACATAATAGAAAAATAATAGGAAATGTCAGGAAGCAAAGGCGACCCTCAATTCTAGCTTTATCTGTTATTGGTGGTAGTTTTGCAAATGGTCTTTGTGTAGAGAATGAAGCATATTAAAGGAACTTAGCAATGGGGTTTGAAGTTTAGTTCATACCTTAAACTAGGATAACTGGAATTGAGATTGTTTGGGAATTGCTCAGCTGGTGCTCTTGCTTGTTCACTTTGCTTTTGATTCGATCTTTTTTTTGTTAGTTATTCTTCAGTCTTTCAACTTCAGTATAGAGCTTCTTCAAGTCACTAACCAATGATCTTTTCTTCTGGCAGGTCAATCCTTGCGCAGTTCAATCCCGGCACCTCCAGCTAACTTCAAATTGCGGGAGGATCATTTATCAGGGAGCTCAATAAAAGGTGACCAGCTAGTATAAGAAGTTTGTCCTTCCTGTCTTATTGCTTGTGTCTTGTGCATAGTAAAATGTCATTATGTGAAGAAGTCATCTCGGCTGAAGGAGAAAAACTAAATATAAGAAGTTTAGAAAGCCTCTTGTATTTGGCCTTGGCCTATTTGCAACTTAGCTCCATTAAATTGTAACCATAAAGGTCATTTTCAATTTATGCATTTAAGTCACAATCCTGACTTACATTAGGAGGTTGAACATGGACTTACATTAAGAGATTAAACATGGAGGAAAAATCAAGCTTTGTTTTGTTTGGGTTGGTCAAAGAGCACTCCTTACTAGCTTCATCTGACAGAGTTGGTTTTGACGCTTCTTTTTGGTCTTGTCAGACACATTTTGTTGGGGTTTGCTCCTTTAATGGAAAATAATCTGTTTTTAAACAGATATCCTTGTTTATGTCACCAGCTTAAATTATATGGAGTCTATCTAGCTCTAGTTCTGATGGGAGTATGGCAAAATTTGGATTCTAAAAGGTAATGATTATACCATCGCGAACTGTTCACAAGAAGCAAAACTTAGCCAACAACCTAAACCTTGCAATATTCTGCTTAGAATTCAATAATACAGTTGTACGAGCCTATAGACAGATCCTGTTCAACTAATGTCGTAACCTTGCAAAAGTTCTGCTTACTACCAAAAATATTCTCTTTAAGACATTCTTTTTATTAGCAACACACAGCACTCTATCATCTGTGTAGTGTTAGCATAGATAAGCAGAAAGTTGGGCATAAACTTGTGCGAATCAAACTTGGTTATTTTCTTCCCCATGAGTTCTTATGTAGAACTGATCCAATCTAAGGTGATTATCAAAATATATAATACACAGAATATATAACTAACTTAATGATCACACTAGTTCTGATTTAGAATTTATAAATAAATCTTAATGCTTCCGTAATTTGAGAATATCCACTCTTTAACTTTTGTCACTTCCTAATTATTTTACAGCTCCAAGATCATTCTTCTCCTTATCGACATTCAGAAGCAAGGGAAGTGACTCAAAGCCAAAGTGACTATCTGAAGCCAAAGATAACTATTTCAAAGGATAAAGTTCCACTAATGCTTGGAATTGCCTTGTGATTGTACCAAACTTCAGACAATATTTCGCAGCAAGAGGTTGAGGTAGATTAGCTACAATCATCCAAATATGATGTATACTTGTACTTAGTATTCACAGGGCTTGTGAAGCCTTTCTTGTGCTTAGCTGTTTCAAGTAGTTGTCTCAGAATATATGTTGTATATTGTCTTGAGAGGACACTGGCGGAATATTAATGTGATTTTGGTAGTCATAGCATTCTTTCTTATGTTGTTATTTACTCTTGATTTATGGTAAATATCAGAAGTTAAATTTTGTTCAATCAAATATTGACAGTTTAGAAAGGTCCAGGGTTGAATTATTTGATTATGCTACCTTTACCTTTGTATGATACATACTATGACAGATTTGATGACCTTGTTATCTTGTTGCACACTTATTTATTGCCTAGACGGCTAGACCCCCTCTGGATATTTTACAATGACAGACATAAAAAAACATTTGTCTTCATATTAAGTATAGCATGCTGTCCAAATTTGCATAGAAATTGTTGAAGGAATCTCTTAAAATTATGTTTGTTTTCATACCAAGTATAGCATGCTGCCAAATTTGCATAGAAATTGTTGAAGGAATGTCTTTAATCCTTGTTGCATAAATTAATTAGAGCTGATTCTAAATCTAAAGCATCTCTACGGAGTTATCGAAGGATGCTTTGTAAGGATTAATTGTTTTTGTGGTTTGTTAATTTCTGTGTAGAATAATTTATTTGCGTTTAGCTCTTGGATTTGAAATATGTAGAGTCTCAACGCCAGAAAGTTGCCAAATTTTATGCCAAGTACAGAAATAGAAGTGTATAAATTGACCACTGAAATGTAGTGTATTGGAATGATTCGAACTCTTCCAATTTAATGCTAAGTGCAGAACTAGAAATGTACAAATGCACCATCGAAATGCAGTTCAGTGAGATAATTGGAAAATTTTCCATCGTTAGTTAGAAGTCTTGAGTTTGAGCCCTTACCCCTCGGTGGGCTCACCTGGCACGCACAATTACTTGGACTAATGGATTTGATATACTCCTTCTGTTTCAGTTTATGTAAACCTATTTATTTTTTGATCCGTTTCAAAAAGAATGATCCCTTTCTAAATTTGTTACAATTCTATCCTTAATGAGAAGCTTTTATAAATACACAAATACTCTGGACCTCTTTTTGACTCGTTTAGAACCACAAATTTCAAAAGTCTTCATTTTCTTCTTAAACTCTGTGTCCAGTCAAACAAGTTCACATAAATTGTAACGGAGGGAGTATCAACTAGTTAAATCGAAAAAAAGAAATATATAAAAGATTTCCCCCCTTCAAAATGACTCCCCTGAGTCTTCGAATAAGATAGCGAAGTAACAAAATAAGTCCATTTCAAATGTACAGGAGAGATTCGTTGAGCCATTTGGATACATGATGCTTCATTTACCACTTCCTATAATGAAGTTATTTTGGCAAGAAGTGAATTACCAAAAGAGAAACAACGTCCTCTTTCAAAAAATGTGAAAATAGCACGGGCTAGCCAGTTTTCAGATTGATAATTGAAAAATAGCCAGCATTTGCAAAGTCATTCAAAATAGCCACTATTTTGCTGCAACACGAAAAGTTCCAGCATAATATACTAGAGATTGAAGCACGTGTGTATGAACTTCCAGCATATTATGCTGGAATATTTTCCAGATTTTGAACAGTATTTTCGTTCATATTTATCTTTACATAAACAATGGCTAAATTTCAATTACTTTTAAAACTGTGACTATTTTTCATTTACCACTTTTAAATATAGTTATTTTTGAATTTCACCCCTTTCAAATGGCACTATAGGATATGATCACTTCAAAGGACAAGATACAGATATGAACAAAGGTAAACAAATAAAAGACAAAAAAACAAACAACTAAAACGACCATGCAACCAAATCACACATTGTCAAAATTAATAGAACCAACAACTTAGTGACTAAGAGTTTTAACTTAACTTAAACATATATAAAAAAAAAATCAATGTACTAAGCTCTTATTATATGCGGGATCCAAAGAAGGATTGAGCTATGTTAGATCTCTTATACATAGCCTTATCTTGCAATTTTGCAAGGGACACATAAGTTAACTCTTAATTTTTATCTCATATTATGAGATGAGCGTTTCTTCGATCATGATATAAGTAAGCACTTATTACGGTCCAAAGCTTCACTAATTGATCTTTACGATGCTATTTCCGTGATTTGACCTTATCTTGCAAAGACGCTTCTATGTGAACCTGTGACTTCATGGCATATGACGATAACTCTTACCACTGTACCCGGCTCCTCTCGAACTTAACATAAATATATATATTTCTAAAATATTCACCAGTTGTGTTCCATATACATCTGCCCAATGTCTAGACCACAAATCATTCTCATGCCGGCTGGTCAGCATATCCTATAAACTAGAAGCCGGCCTACCAAATTTCACCAAGTGTGTCTTTCTTTTTTTCTTAGATAGATTACGAGAGCAGTCGACAGTAATCAGTTTTATTTATAGAAAATGATTGATTTGTCAATTTTAATATTGTCCTCAGCTGTTTAACTTGACAAAATTTGACAAACACAAAGGCATTAACCACTTACTATTAGTCTTGGAGAAACCAGAAGGCATCTTAATATGGCGGATTGATCAAAGGCATTTTGTTGTTAAAAAACATTCATCCTGGGAACAACTGTTAATAGAGAGCTGTAAATATACCTTTCCATGTTCATATTTGTCTACTACCATGCTATAACTTGAACAGAGCCACAATAAGAAATTCTTCATCATCAACAGCATTAATCCAAATGGCTCATTCTGAGTTTTCATCTTCCACTAGGCAGAGACGCCATACTACACCTGTGGTCTCACAGCAACCTTCCACATCATTCTCAATGTCAATGTCTTCGTCCTACAACAACTTTAGTCGTGTGCGCAACCCCCCACCTGCTAGTCCTTTTGCCTCCGATGATGACAGGTCAGTCGCATAGCTACATGTATTGAAAGAGGTTCAACTGAATCCCCATTGTCGGAAAGTCTTGTTGGACAAATAGGCTAAAACAATTTTTTTTTTGTACATATAAAAATTGTTGAAGTAAACGTGACACAATATTTTGACAGGTCATGGCAAGGCGAGCTCTCTTGGCAATTTGAGCCAACAGGGTGGCGCGATAATCGCAACCTTAGTGCAGCACTAAGTCCGTGGACAGCTTCTGACGCTTCATTCACTTCAGCAGCACATGGGAGTAGGATTTTCAGGAAATCAGCTAATGATTATTACTTATCGCGGGCGACTAATGGTGTTTTCCATAGCTTCATCAATCCATCATACGATCATTCTTATTCTGGCCTCCAGACTTCTGGAAGGCTTGAGCTTCAAAGTTTTGATTCCAGGGCCAGTGGGAATTCCTATGCCTCTCGTGATTATAAGGGCAAGCCCCGCAAATCTTCAAAATTGACAACTATTACAGAAGGGACCGGTGCTGGGAAAAGTGGTCCTTTGGCTGTGCAAGACGAGCTCCAGTCGATAGAGTTTGACAGAATAGAAGATCTTGAAAGGCAAATCCAGATTGACGGGTCAGATACCAACCTACATCATCAGTAACATTGTTAAATTGTGTGACCATATCATCTAAAATCTAAAACTTTTAGAAAGAGCACACTACGTGCAGGCCTGATTCTTTTTACATGGGCTAAGCACGTGGAAGAGCAGACTTTTAATCACCCCTTAATGAAGAATTAACCTAAATAGCCACCCGCTTAACCGCTTAAATTAGGAATAGCTGACAAATGTATAATCCATGTATAATATGTGTATGACCACGTATAATCATTGGATAATCTAAGTATACCGGGGCTAGGAAAAGTAAACAGTGAATCCAGTCGGCTATTTGTGTAAAGATCCACTTAATTATTATGTATTCAACAAACATAACAGCTCAAATGGTTTCAGTATCAAAAGCTTATACACAGGCTATACTAATCGTGCTAAACTACGTTACAGGTCAAATGCTCATAATCATGGCATCGTTAGAGATCATCATGGACACTTTGATCAGATGGAACATACTTTCAATATTAATGACACCTCTGATTGTGACGTGAAGTGTGTTGATCATGTTTACGAGGAACAAAGCCACCATGTTCAATATTCTAGACAATCAAATTTCCAGCAGTATGGAAATGATTTGTACAATGATATTAACAAGAATCCTATAATACACGATGAAGAAAATGATGCAGAGGAGGCAGCAGCTCCTAAGCCAGTAGGGTTGTTGAGCTTGTTCAAATACTCAAGCAAGTTGGATATACTATTACTGCTGTTGGGTTGTATTGGGGCTCTAATAAATGGAGGATCTCTTCCTTGGTATTCTTATCTTTTTGGTAATTTCGTAAACAAAATTGCCCTGGACAAAGACAAAGATCGGATGATGAAGGATGTGGAAATGGTAATATATACTTACTATTTCATTGTATGCTCCTCCTTCCCGCAATTTTTTATCCGTAGAAAAATTGACGTAGAAGAATTTGGTAGAGGTGTAGGTGGCAAAAGGGCGGGTTGGTCAACGAGTCAAATCAATAAGCTAGTCATAACTCAACCTGGTGAAAGTTTGCTTAGAGTCAAAATGGGTTAAGTAACAAGTCATAACCCAATTTGTCTAAGATGACCCAACTTTCCCTCCTTTTTTTGTTTTGTTTTTTTAAGAAAAAATGTGAAGCTAATGTATTTTTATTAAATTATTAGCTTCAGTTCTTTCAAATTTACATAATTACCAATCTCCAAATTATATTGTATATATTTGGGTTTGAGTTACATTTTGACCCGTCAGTTACATTGTTTTGACCCATTTTGGATCAATAGTTTGATCAGCCATTTCGGGTTCAACCCGTTCAGTCTAGTTAATAAACGAGTCAGAAGTAAACCGCTTAAACTTGAGGGGGTTACTAAAATGAGTTGATCTTGAGACCTCTGTATGGAGGATTTGAATAGAGTTAAGAGTAAAAATGAAGAATCTGTCAAGGATCTCAGTTAGTAACTCCTTTCTCTCCTGCTAGCAGTTAAAAGAGAAAAATGAATGAATACTATTAATCCTGAATAGAGCAACTAATTGCCTATAAATTCATTATCTAAATCTCAAGAGATCTTATAACAATTGACACAATCTTCAGGTGTGTGTGCTTATGACAGGGCTAACAGCAGTAGTCGTGGTTGGAGCATACTTAGGTAATTTAGACATTTGTATTCTCATATATATTATTCTGGATTTTAGAGTTTAAAGGAGAGTAATCACAGGTGACACTTTAATCATCTTATGCCAGAGACAACTTGCTGGAGATTGGTGGGAGAAAGATCAGCTCATAGAATAAGAACAAAGTACCTAAGAGCTGTTTTACGACAGGACATCGGATTTTTTGACACAGAACTGAATACTGGTGAAATTATGCATGGAATTTCCAGTGATGTGGCACAAATCCAAGAAGTGATGGGAGAAAAGGTACTGCTTTTTGCCCATTGATACTCTAAACTGATAAATTTTCACTTCTTAATAGTGAAATAAGCTGTGTGTTAACCTTTACCACACTTATACAATGACTAAACTAATCCAAAGAGAACTCACATCAAATGCATACAACAGCCTCTCTGATCCTGTGTAATTTTGTACTCATGCAGATGGCACATTTTGTTCACCATATCTTCACTTTCATCAACGGCTACGCAGTTGGTTTTAGAAGATCATGGAAGGTTTCCCTGGCAGTTTTTGCAGTCACACCACTGTCTATGTTCTGTGGCCTTGCTTATAAAGCCATCTATGTTGGCCTCACACAGAAAGAAGAGGTGAGAGGCATGCAACGCAACTCAGCATAACTCCTCCTCTCCCAATTCATATGACACTCTTTCTGTTTGGACCGTCCAAAATTGTTTCACGGCATTCCTAAAACCTTTACAAGTTCCCAAAATCAGCTACAATATTGACGTGGCATTTTCTCCATCAAACTAACAGTTTCCTTGTTATTTTAATACTTTCGTCTACTATTATTTCTGTAATAAATGCATCAAAATGCCGCTCTATTCAAATAGTTTCACAAAGAAGTATATAAATTAATATTTCTCTGTTTAGTTCACTTTAAACTGCACACTGAGTTTTGTTGTTCTTTTGTAAAGGAATCTTATAGAAAAGCTGGCAGCATTGCAGAGCAAGCAATGAGTTCAATTAGGACCGTAACTGCTTTTGTAGCAGAGGACTTTTTAGATGCAAAATATGTGGAATCTCTGGAGAATTCGGGGCGTTTGGGGGCAAAGGTCGGTTTTGCTAAAGGAGCAGGAATTGGAGTTATTTATTTAGTTACTTATGCGACATGGGCATTGGCTTTCTGGTACGGTTCAATCCTTGTAGCAAAGGGAGAGCTTTCAGGTGGTGAAGCCATTGCTTGTTTCTTTGGGGTTAACGTCGGGGGCAGGTAAATAATTCTGTCATTTTTCTCTCTATCTTCCCTCCACCAGAAGAAGATTTAATAAGCTAATCAACTTAAATTAATAAATGAAATTTGAGGAAGTCTCAAACTTTAAAGGAAGCAAACATTTAACGATCATCAATGTATTGCAGCAGAATTCAGCTTATTGGCAACTATTCCATAATAAGGAAATTATAATAATTTACCAATTGATGTAAACAGAACTACTAAATTTTTGTCATTGGCAGCATATCTAGTCTGACTTGAGTAAATCATATGTCTATTTGTGCAGGGGCTTGGCTCTATCCCTATCTTACTTTGCTCAGTTTGCACAAGGAACAGTTGCAGCTACTAGGGTATTTGAAGTTATAGACAGGATTCCAGAGATAGATCCCTACAGTCCAGAGGGAAGGAGGTTGTCAACTGTAAGAGGGAAAATTGAATTTAAATGTGTTACCTTTGCATATCCGGCTCGTCCAACTGTCCAGATTCTCCAGTCTCTTAACTTAGTCATTCCAGCTTCTAGGACATTAGCATTAGTAGGCACCAGTGGAGGTGGAAAGTCAACGATCTTTGCTCTTATAGAAAGGTTTTATGATCCAGTTCAGGGTAGGGNTAAGCATATGAATCTTTCTTATATAGCAAGTATAACTGTTTGTGGATATTTTTCATGTCTGATTAAGGAAATTACAAATATCTGGGCAGGTCTAATTACCTTGGATGGTCATGATATAAGAACATTGCAAGTTAAGTGGCTGAGAAGTCAGATAGGTATGGTTGGTCAAGAACCGGTACTATTTGGGACAAGCATACTTGCAAATGTGATGATGGGAAAAGAAAATGCTACCAAGAAAGAGGCTATGGCTGCTTGCGTTGCGGCAAATGCTCACAGCTTTATCTCAAGACTTCCAGAAGGCTATGATACACAGGTGCAGTATATGGATTATCAGTTCATATTCCACATTCCACAATAATCTAACAAGATAACGATATGCATATTAAAAGGGTACTTCTAAACTTAATGTACCTGTACAGGTTGGAGACCGAGGAACCCAACTCTCTGGAGGACAAAAGCAGCGGATTGCTCTTGCTCGAGCAATGGTTAAAGACCCAAAAATTCTTCTGTTAGACGAACCAACTAGTGCCTTAGACCCCGAGTCTGAGGCCATTGTACAACGGGCCATTGACAAGATCTCCAAGGGCAGAACCACGTTAGTGATTGCCCATAGGTTAGCTACAGTAAGAAATGCTCACACTATAGTCGTTCTTGATCGTGGCTCAGTTGTTGAGACAGGTAACCATGATCAGCTAATGGAGAAGGCTGGGGCCTACTTTGGCCTCATCAAGCTTGCTTCAGAAGCAGTCCCAAAACCTATGTCAAAACAGGAAGATGTTGAATTCTCTGCCTATGAGAAATCAACTTATGATGTATTGAAAGTAAAGAGTGTATATGAAATCTCAAGATCAAAGTACCAAGAATCTATGCAAGAAGGAATCCAAAGAGAAGAGGTAGAAGAAGGAGAGCAAGCAAAGATGAAGAGCTATCGTCTCTCAGAATTATGGAACCTGCAGAGACCGGAACTGATAATGCTATTAGTAGGGCTAATATTGGGCATGCTTGCAGGTGCAATTCTCTCCCTCTATCCCTTAGTTCTAGGGCAAGCACTTAAAGTCTACTTTTACACAGACATGTCAAGATTGAAAAGGGAAGTTGGATACCTCTGCTTGATACTTGTTGGTCTTGGATTTGGGTGCATATTCACTATGGTAGGACAGCAAGGCTTCTGTGGTTGGGCTGGTACCAGGCTCACCATGAGAGTTAGAAGTTTCTTGTTTAAAGCTATACTCAAACAAGAACCTGGTTGGTTTGATCTTGACGAGAATTCAACTGGAGTTTTAGTGTCAAGGCTTTCTGTTGATTGTGTCAGTTTCAGGTCTGTTGTTGGTGATAGGTTTTCTGTACTGCTAATGGGGCTGAGCTCAGCAGCTGTTGGACTTGGTGTGTCATTCAAACTAGAATGGAGATTAGCTCTTTTGGCCACTGCTCTCACACCATTTACTCTAGGAGCAAGCTACCTCACTTTGATTATAAATGTAGGAGGAAAACTAGACAACAGCTCTTATACGAAAGCTAGCAGTATAGCTGCAGGTGCTGTGTCAAATATAAGAACTGTGGCAACATTCTCAACTCAGGAGAAAATAGTTAAATCATTTGAACAAGCTTTATCTGAGCCCAAGCGAACATCAGTCAGAAGGTCACAGATGCTTGGTCTAGCACTAGGCCTTTCTCAAGGTGCAATGTATGGAGCATATACCCTGAATCTCTGGTTTGGTGCTTACTTGGTAAAGCAAGGTTATACCAATTTCGGTGACGTATATAAGATTTTCCTAATACTTGTGCTGAGCTCATTTGCTGTTGGACAACTTGCTGGCCTCGCCCCAGATACTTCTATGGCTTCAACTGCAATACCCGCTGTGCTTGCTATCATTAACCGTAGGCCTTCAATAGGCAATGAGCGTGTGAAAGGAAAAAAGATTGAAATATCAAAGCCATTTGATATAGAGTTTAAGATGGTCACATTTGCATATCCATCAAGGCCAGAAGTAATAGTGATGAGAAACTTCACACTTAAGATCAGAGGTGGGACAATGGTAGCATTGGTTGGAGCAAGTGGATCTGGAAAATCAACAGTGATATGGATGATACAGAGGTTTTACGACCCAACACAAGGGAGAGTGCTAATGGAAGGGGTTGATCTGAGGGAGCTGAATTTGAAGTGGTTGAGAAGGCAGACAGCTCTGGTCAGTCAAGAACCAGCCTTATTTGCTGGCACCATTAGAGAGAATATTGCATTTGGCGAGCCTAATGCTTCATGGGCTGAAATTGAAGAAGCAGCAAAGGAAGCTCACATTCATAAATTTATCAGTGGGCTTCCTCAAGGTTATGAAACAGAGGTAAGCCTCACATATATTATTGATTTTAATGAGTAAGCTGGGCATGACTTGACTAATCTCTAGAGTTTGGCATACTATTTTACAGGTCGGTCAGAGTGGTGTTCAGTTATCAGGCGGACAGAAACAACGGATAGCAATTGCAAGAGCCATACTGAAGAAATCAAAGGTGCTCTTACTGGATGAAGCTAGCAGTGCACTGGACTTGGAATCAGAGAAGCATGTTCAAGACGCACTCAGGAAGATTTCCAAGAGGGCTACAACAATTGTGGTAGCTCATCGGCTTTCTACAATTAGAGAAGCCAGTATGATTGCTGTTGTGAAGGAGGGCACAATAGCAGAATATGGAAGCCATGACAAACTCACGGCTTCTCACCTTGATGGCCTATATGCTAGCTTAGTTCGGGCAGAAACAGAAGCCTTGGCATTTTCTTGAACCTGATTATGAAATATTTGGAAGCTCGTCAAAACATTGTCCTTAGGAATTACTTGATCATATAGATTAAAATATCCATTGCTTATTCAGTAATCTCGGAAAGAAAAATGTAAATTAACACAGCTAGTCTAGCCAAAAGTTTACGATGAGCAAGCATCATTTTTGGCTTTAAGGATGTTCTTAATTCCTGAAGAGATTAAATCACAATGTACACTCAGGGGCGGATATAGGCTTTAACATATGGGTTCTACAGAACCCAATAGTTTTGGCTCAAACCCTCTATATATATGTTGAGAAATTCACTAACTGGGTAAGAAAATTATATTCGAACCTAGTTATTAGCACATGAGGTCACTATCCTAGAATTCAGAACCCATAAAGTTCAAATCTTGGATCTGCCTTTGGCTGTACTTAGTGTCAAGTACGCAAAACAGATCAACGCTTTGAAGAAATAAGCTCGGAATACTTTATAAGCTGAAGCTCAGGTATGAAAGTGAATTACATGTCATTTTCAATAGTCCTATATACAACTGCAAAGTCAAAATCCAATACTTTTCTTACCTCTCGAAATAGTTACACCTCCTCTTCCCGGAAGTGACCCTGCCACCAGCACAACATTCAAGTGCAAACACAAAAAGGGTCGTCTAAAATCAAACTAGATAATGGAATGGCCCAATATAATTGTTCGAACAGCACCAGAAAGATGGCGTCTTGGCTTAGAAGCTAAGGGGAGTTTGAGGCCTGCAATAGAAAAATATAAAATTTGCTTCTTGGCTTGGTTTCCCCTCCGACTTCAGTCTTTGTTTTTTCTTGGCCCACTATATACTTGAATATGGTAAGCTTTAGTGCCTCCTCCCTCCCTCCCTCCCTCATACTGGCAAAAACACAAACAGGTAAACTACATTCTTGGTCATAACTGGAGTACTTGAAAACCAAGAGTAGAGGTCTTATATGCCATCGGAAATATAATATGCTACCGGAAATGTCATTTTCCTCATACTTTTCAGTTTTCACCATTGTCTGATGCTGTGCTTCCTGCGAAAAAGGATTTGCTGTTTTTAGTTACAAGCATAAATGAGTTTTCTTGTCACTGTTTTTTCTTTTCATTTTGGATAATGGTGGCGGCCAGTTATGCAGGATTATTGCACTTTGGAGTAATAATAAATTTGACAAAACACATGGGTAATTAAATGGTTTAACAATCAAAAATTTGTCAAGATTCACGAGCAGAAGGATAAAACTGCACATTTCAATAATTTGAACCTTAAATGTATTAACTAAATATCAAAGGACCAGAATCAACATTTATTAATATTTCAGGGATTAAACATGCAAATTTCTATAGTTATGCTCGTTTCCAGTACGTAGGCAAGAACTCTGTTTGACTCAAAAGATATTGAAATCTTTTTTGAATAAATCAATTAAAGAAAATGAAGGAGTAAATCTTAGCTAAATATAATAAACTCTAGAACCAAAGGTATAAAAGATGAACACAATGGATAATATTTATTGATCTTGCGAAGATGAGTGATCGAACATTAAGGATGTCAATCATTATGTAGAAAAGTATTACAATCACTGTTCTTAGCTAAAAAACCCCCTTTACAAGGTTATTTTCCCGCTATAATATAAGGGACAAACCCCTTCTGAACCCTAAAAGACATATCATAGAATATTCCTAATGCCCCCTATTGGGCCTACAGTACTATAAAAGTCATGCAGTCTCTGTTCGCTTGTATGTCGTCTTCCACAAGACGTCGAGCTACGAAGATCTCGTCGTTTGTCGTATTCGTCAATGGTCGTGGTCGTCCAAATTTGGACCCATACAGTTAGTCACTCCGCTTGTCGAGGTTGCAACTTGGTGCGTCCTTGATAAGCGGACACCACCCACTCTTGTGGAGAAATTTGGTTTTACGAAGCATTATGGCTTGGCCAACAATGGGAGGTTAGCGTGATCAACAAGACACCGGATAGTGTATCTTATCGGGAAATGACATCATCTCCACGTGCGTCATCATTATGTGTGTTTTCGAGATAGGGGTTGAGGGCTTGTCGCTTCGATTCCGGTGCCACTCTGCAGCCTTCCGCTTTGATTCTGGCGCCACCCAATCCTATAAATAGGTGGAGGGTTTGTTTTTTCAAAAACTCTTGG